GGCACACCTGGGCACACCTGGGGGCAGGAACACGGGGGAAATTTGGGGGAAATTAGTGAAAATTTGGGGGAAATCGGTGGGAATTTGGGGAAAATCGGTGGAAATTTGGTGAAAATCGGTGGAAATTTGGTGGAAATCGGTGGAAATTTGGGGAAAATAGGTGGAAATTTGGAGGAAATCGGTGAAAATTTGGGGATTTTGGGGTCTGGGCACACCTGGGCACACCTGGGAATGGTTGCACACACCTGGGCACACCTGGGCACACCTGGGGGCGGGAAAACGGGGGAAATTTGGGGAAAAACGGTGGAAATTTGGTGAAAATCGGTGGAAATTTGGGGATTTTGGGGATTTTGGGGTCTGGGCACACCTGGAGATGGTTCCACACACCTGGGCACACCTGGGGGCGGGAAAACGGGGGAAATTTGGTGAAAATCGGTGGAAATTTGGAGGAAATCGGTGGAAATTTGGTGGAAATTTGGGGACTTTGGGGTCTGGGCACACCTGGGCACACCTGGGAATGGTTCCACACACCTGGGCACACCTGGGGGCGGGAAAATGGGGGAAATTTGGGGGAAATTGGTGGAAATTTGGTGAAAATCGGTGGAAATTTGGGGAAAATAGGTGGAAATTTGGGGAAAGTAGGTGGGAATTTGGAGGAAATCAGTGGAAATTTGGGGATTTTGGGGTCTGGACACACCTGGGCACACCTGGGCCACACCTGGGGGCGGGAAAACGGGGGAAATTTGGGGGAAATCGGTGGAAATTTGGGGAAAATCGGTGGAAATTTGGGGGAAAATCGGTGGAAATTTGGAGGAAATTTGTGGAAATTTGGAGGAAATCGGTGGAAATTTGGTGGAATTTTGGGGTCTGGTTACACCTGGGAATGGTTCCACACACCTGGGCACACCTGGGGGCGGGAAAACGGGGGAAATTTGGGGAAAATCGGTGGAAATTTGGGGAAAATTGGTGGAAATTTGGAGGAAATCGGTGGAAATTTGGGGATTTTGGGGTCTGGGCACACCTGGGAATGGTTNCTGGGAATGGTTCCACACACCTGGGCACACCTGGGAATGGTTCCACACACCTGGGCACACCTGGGGGCGGGAAAACGGGGGAAATTTGGGGGAAAATCGGTGAAAATTTGGTGAAAATAGGTGGAAATTTGGTGAAAATCGGTGGAAATTTGGAGGAAATTGGTGGAAATTTGGGGGAAATTTGGGGATTTTGGGGTCTGGGCACACCTGGGAATGGTTCCACACACCTGGGCACACCTGGGGGCAGGAAAATGGGGGAAATTTGGGGGAAATTGGTGGAAATTTGATGAAAATTTGGGGATTTTGTGGGAAGTTTTGGGATTTTGTGGGAAGTTTTGGGGTTTGGGCACACCTGAGGAAATCGGTGGAAATTTGGTGAAAAATTTGGGATTTTGGGGTCTGGGCACACCTGGGAATGGTTCCACACACCTGGGCACACCTGGGGGCGGGAAAACGGGGGAAATTTGGGGGAAATCGGTGAAAATTTGGGGAAAATCGGTGGAAATTTGGGGAAAATTGGTGGAAATTTGGGGAAAATCGGTGGAAATTCGGAGGAAATTGGTGGAAATTTGGTGAAAATTTTGGGATTTTGAGGTTTGGGCACACCTGGGCACACCTGGGAATGGTTCCACACACCTGGGCACACCTGGGCACACCTGGGGGCGGGAAAACGGGGGAAATTTGGGGGAAATCGGTGAAAATTTGGTGAAAATCGGTGGAAATTTGGGGAAAATAGGTGGAAATTTGGAGGAAATCGGTGGAAATTTGGTGGAATTTGGGGGTTTGGGCACACCTGGGAATGGGAAATGGGGAAAAATGGGGAAAATTGGGAAAATTAGTGGGAAATTGGGGAAAAACTGGGAAAAGTTGGGGAGAAAATTGGGGAAAAATTGGGGGAAAATTGGTGGAAATTTGGGGGAAAATGGGAAAAAATTGGGGAAAATGGAGGGAAAAATGTGGAAAAATTGGGGGAAATTGGTGGGAAAATTTGGGGAAAAAATGGGGGAAAATCATGGGAAAATGGGGAAAATCTGGGAAAAAGGGGGGAAAAATTGGTGAGAAAAATGGAGAAAATTGCTGAAAAAATCAGGAAAAATCATGGAAAAATGGGGGAAATTTGGGGGAAAATGGGGAAAAATTGTGGGGAAAATTGGGGAAAATTGGGGGGAAAATGGGGAAAATATTGTGAGAAAAATGGAGAAAATTGCTGAAAAAATCGGGAAAAATCATGGAAAAATCGTGGGAAAATGGGGAAAAATTGGGGGGAAAATGGGGAAAAAATTGGTGAGAAAAATGGAGAAAATTGCTGAAAAAATCGGGAAAACTCATGGAAAAATCGTGGGAAAACGGGGGGAATTTGGGGGAAAATGGGGAAAAATTGGGGGAAATTGGTGGGAAATTGGGGAAAATTGGGGGGAAAATGGGGAAAAATTTGGGGGAAAATGGGGAAAATTGCTGAAAAAATCGGGAAAAATAATGGAAAAATCGTGGGAAAATGGGGAAAATTTGGGGGAAAATGGGGAAAAATTGTGGGGAAAATTGGGGGGAATATGGGGAAAATATTGTGAGAAAAATGGAGAAAATTGCTGAAAAAATCGGTAAAAATCATGGAAAAATCGTGGAAAAATGGGGAAAATTTGGGGGAAAATGGGGAAAAATCTGGGGAAAATTGGGGGAAAATTGTGGGGAAAATGGAGAAAATTGTTGGAAAATTGGGGGGAAATTGGGGAAAATTGGGGGAAAAATGGGGAAAAAAATGGTGAGAAAAATGGAGAAAATTGCTGGAAAAATCGGGAAAAATCATGGAAAAATCGTGGAAAAATGGGGAAAATTTGGGGGAAAATGGAGAAAAATTGGGGGAAAATGGGGAAAATTGGGGGAAAAATGGGGGAAAAAATGGTGAGAAAAATGGAGAAAATTGCTGAAAAAATCGGGAAAAATCATGGAAAAATCGTGGGAAAATGGGGAAAATTTGGGGGAAAATGGGGAAAAAT